ATTATTAAGGGGTTACTGGGGCACCTAGGTGTTATAAGGAATGTAGATGAATGGAAAAGAACAAGGAAACTGCCACATTATTTGGGGATTGATTATGTAAGGTTTAGGGGCACAGGAACAAAAAAGAGCCAAGAGCATTTACTGGGGTTACGAATGGGTTGAGCATCATGTGGGTAGTGCAGTTTCGGGATACTATGGTCCCCAGAATAGAGAGAAAGGTTTAAGAGTATGCTATGAGTGTAATAGCTTAGGTTACTTGGAGCTGATTTAGTCATTTATTAATCGCAGTTACCCGACTTAAGTCCAGTAAGTATACTCCTACCTACAATGGGGTAACCCATCTAAGGCCTGTAAGAGGTTTGGAAGTAGGTTTAAAAAGCCCAGTGATAACCAGTTACTCAGTCCAATGAACCTCCAAGTGCGGCATCCTATATAAGCCCAGGTTGGAGCACTGTCAAAATGACCCACCTCTGTTAAAGTAGGATTTCGTTGTGGGTGTTGATGAGTGTGCATTGGATTCCTTAGGTATGTGGGTGGGTGTATGATATGGAGTGTCCCATTGGGGAGACAATGAGACAATTGAAACTTGAAACTGAAAATCCAGATCGAAGGTTTGGGGCAGTTTGGGGTTAAGGAGCGTAGAGTTTGACATGTAAGGGAAGGGGGGGTTGCTTGAAGGTGCATAGTTACATAGTTGGTTCTAAGCGAGATTATGCATAGCTTAGTCGCGTTGTGCTTGAGCCATCCTATTCATAGCCTGACTTCTAAGTACCCTTGGCAATCTAGGTAAGGCCTACCAGAATCTAGAAACCTCATTCCCAATCTGAGATTGCCCAGATATCTACTGTTGAGGGTTTAGGGTTTAGGGGTTGAGGGTTAGAACCCTGAGGGCCCTAAGGCGGGTACACTCGGGGTGTCTTTGGTTGAAACTATGGCCCTTGTATGAACCCTTAAGAATCTTGGTCTCCTCATATACCTGTTACATACCCTATAAACCTTACACACCCGTTGAGGGCCCATAGGACCCAGGAAACAGGTAGGGGCCCACATTGACGCTTGGGTTGGGGCACTTCTTCAAGAAGTAATTTGGAACGTGGACCCCTCGTTCAGGGTTTTGGGGGCTTTGGCGGATGAATGACATTTTCGACTTCATGGCTAGTTGGGGTTTAGGGTTTAGGGTTTAGGGTTGTATAAATTCCAAGCCCCTGAATTCCAAACATCACCCTGCTGCTTGTGGCAGTTAGGAACGTGCCCCTCTTGCAAGCCCTAAAGCCCAGAATCTACACTCCGGCAATGCGCGGCCCAGTACCTTTACACAGGGGTAGGGTAGACAATACTGTGTTATTGTTGTTACCCTGTATTCCTATAAAATCCGTATAAAGGCATGACAAATGGCTTATAGGGCGCCCAAACTGGCGGCCGAGCAACTTCGACACCCCAGAGATGTTCCCAGACCCCTGGGAGGATCTAGACGTAGAACCCCCAATACCTTCCACTGTTGTTGGGTAATCTCGAAGCATCCTCAATAAAGGTCTACTTTCTAGGGTTTAGGGTTTAGGCTTTGCCTAGGGGTCTGGGTTTTGCAGCTACTCGCTCCTTTGATGCTGGCTGCCAGCATCATTTGCGTTGATGGACGGGGGTCATCTTCTCGCCCTGGCTGGTGAGGGTTTTTGAGTTTAACCCTAAACCCTATACCCATTGGCGAAATTCTAAACCCCTACTATCCCCTAAGAAATCCCTGATATAATACCCTTTAGGGAGTTTAGACTATGGCTCATTAGGGTTTGAACGCAGATGGAATTGGGGTTTCGGACATAGCGACCGCCAACAAAGGCACCCCCCAACTTTGGAAATTCGAAGGGCTAACTTCCCAAAACTTATCACTATATGGGAGATTCCCCAAAAAGCGGGTACCATTTTGGACATCCGCATACAGAGGATGATTTATATGGGTGTTCGGGAATCTATGTTAGGGTCCTCCTATTAATTGAGATTATAATTTAATCCCTAGAAGGACCCAAACTCTAAGCCGAATTTTCCAGTTTGAGTGTAAAACCCTAAACCCTAAGCCACGGTGTACGGACGGACAAGACACCTACTTCCAGGTAAGTTGCAGACAGCATAGCACTTTTGGGGCCAGGTTTAGGGTTTGAGGGTTCAGGGCTTAGCGCTTAGGGCTCTGGGTTTAGTTGTTTTTGCAAAGGGTTTAAGGTGTGGGGCTCGTAACGAGCCTTTAAAACTAAACCCACAGCCTGAAATCAAAGCTCTACCCCAAACCTTATTGTTGCCCTTGAATGTCTCCTTGGGACTTAGCTTGGACCTTGGACCCTTACCCCTTTGGGATTCCCATATATTCCGATTATAGGCACCTAAGGGTTGAGCCTTAGTAGGGGTCCTAAGTGCCACGTAGATGTAAGGTCCTAACTCTGGGCTCCTTTTTCGACCTGCAGGGCTCATAGGGATTTTGGGGTTTAGGGTTTAGGATAAGCACACAAGGACCCGGGATTTAAGGGGTTTCAACCTTCGACTTGTTCCTGCAGCTAGTCTTCAAGAATGGGCTTAGGGTTTAGGGTTTAGGGTGTAGGATGTCCTGCCCTAAACATGAAACCCTACAAGGCGACCAATTTTGAACAACTCGCAGCTAATCTTTTGCAGGCCATGCCTGGTACGTCAAGCTCGCGCAAAGCTTGCGAAGGCCCGAGAAATAGATGGAGGTTGGGAGGAAAATTTAGGGATGAGGCTTTGGGGAATTGGGGTTGGGGTTTCGGGATTAGAGTCCGGGAGCTCTAAACCGTATTAGACTTAAATCCTAGAAACCCAGGTGTAGCGATTGGGTTTTGGGGTCAGGGATTTGGATGTTGAGTTTCGTGATTGGGGACGTTGAGCGGGCACGCCTGGACTAGCTCAACAGTTCTACGGTTCCACGTTCGGATCTTGCAAGGGTTAAGGGTTTAGGATTTAGGGAGGGTTGTGTAAGAGCCTCAGACATCTGACATCTGTGTACGTACTCCCCAAAATCGAGGCTCATATGGAACAGCAAAAGGAAAATGAAATAGAAATCGACAAGTTGTTTTGGCTAGTAACCGTTTTCTTCTCATACCCTAGACCCTACAGATGCTTCAAAAAACTTAATGTAGACCCATGATTAATAAACCCGTCCTTTACAGGGCCTTATTATTAGGATCCCGGTTACAACCACTACTAAGGGGAGGGGGTTTACCCTAAACCCCAAACCCTAAACCCTAAACCTTCAACCCCCTAAACCTCACCGGAGGAATTTGCCTGCGACGAGCCCCGCATCGCGCTGCTCCTTGGGTTGTCAACTGTTTGGCATGGCACTGGGTTTTTTTGGGGCGTTTGGGGTTTAGGGTTTTGCGCTTATATTGGGATAATGGAAAAGAAAATGGAAAC